GGCTACCCAGCCTGCCTAGGTTGCAGGAATTCTTTAATTTTTATCCTATTTATTTATTTAAAAAATATATATTTTTATTGATTCCAGAGAGGGAGGGAGAGGGAAAGAAAGAAAGAAAGAAACATCAATGATGAGAGAGAATCATTGATTGGATGCCTCTTGCATGCCCCCTGCTGGGGATCAAGCCCACAATCTGGGCATGTGCCATTGATTGGAATCAAACTGGGACCCTTCAGTCCACAAGCTGATGCTCTATCTGCTGAGCCAAACCATTTAGGTCATCCTATTTATTTTTTATAGTCTGATTGCATGCTATTGTATTCAATGTATTCCTATTTTTAGATCCTGCATTCACTGTATTCTATCCCTATGAATTGCTTTCAAGGCAAAAGCAAATGCATTCTAGAAGAATGAGACTTTTCACTTAAAACTAATCTCATAGATCTAAGATGATAGAAATAACAGTTGGGAATGCTAGAGGCAGTAATAGAGTAATGGGGACTAGCTATAGTTATAAGAAGTATTAATCGTGATTGTCCTGTTCTGATAGGAGAAAGCATATTTTTACCTGGCTGAGAGTTGTATTCTCTGGGACACGGGAGTTAACCTGAGAATGCAGCCCATTCTCCTTTTCTGAGAACTGCCTATCATCATATAAAGATTAACAACCTTGTTATAGAAACAACCTGGTCCCCGATTTGCCCACCCTGGGTGGCTGCATTGCCAGTAACCTGTAACCATTATACCTTGCCTACTTCTCCATGCCTGTAATTCTTACTTTCCCATGTAATCTTTGTCCTTCTACCCAAGGCAGCTAGCTTAACAAGAAGATTTTCATAGATGACCAGCTCCTCTCCCATACTGCCAGAATTATTGGAATAAGCACTCATATATGATTCAACACTGTGCTTAATTGTCTCAAGTAGTGATATGTTTTTCTTTTTTGCATGTCTTACTCTCTTACACAGCTTCCAGACATTGTCTCAATGCTTTGGGTCTGGGAAAGATGTGTAAAAGCAAGCATCAATTAATCAAACGACAAAGATATTATGTGTCATATGCAAGTCACCAGGAACAAAATGACTTTCAATACAATATGTCACATAATGTAATAACTGTTCAATGTCCTTTTGACCATATAGGTTAGGTATGTTTTTTAAAGAGGTCCAAACAGTTTTGTGATATGATCCTATCAGGTAAAAATAACTTAGTCTGTACTCGGTAAAGGCAGCATATAAAACATGTAATAGAAAGGGGACAAAATCAGTTACTCAAACAAGCTGTTCAGAGAGGCTCTTCATCAACCCTTATTCTTTCAAGGAAACAGCTTGAATCTCAAGGCTAAGCCTCTGGTACATAATGCCATTAACATTTTGAAGTTGGAGGTAGATGATCTAGATCTTAATAAATTAGATCTAAATCTGGATCTCAGTAAAATCCTGACTTATCAGTTCCCCAAGGCCTTCTACATGACTCTCTATTGCAAACATTCTCCCACCTTAATTTCATGTCTTCCATTTAAGCATCTGACTGGCCTATTTTCAAAATGTCAGCCCCAAGAGAATTCTCTGCTACACATTACCCTCCCTAAGTTAGTGGAAAAACAAGAGTAAAGGAGTCTTATTGGTGATTAAATAAATAAAATGGCACTCACTTCTTTGAAATGACCATTGGCTTTTTTTTTTTTTAAGGGAGAAGTACGGTGGGTTTTGTTTTTTTTTTAAATATATTTTATTGATTTCTTACAGAAAGAAAGAGAGAGGGATAGAGAGTTAGAAACATCAATGAGAGAGAATCATCAATCAGCTGCCTCTTGCACATGCCCTACCGGGGATGTGCCCGCAACCAAGGTACATGGCCTTGATCGGAATCAAACCTGGAACCTTTCAGTTGCAGGCTGACTCTCTGTCCACTGAGCCAAACTGGTTTTGGCTGGCCATTGGCTTTAAGTTAATCACTGATGATGGTACAGTACCTCCCCCTGGGACAGGGAAGAGGGGGAAGGCTAGAAGGGGTCAATGGAAGGGAAAAGGCAATATATGCAATATTTCCAACAATATTTTTTTAAGTCTGTAGAACAAAAATAAAAATACAGATCAATCATAACAATACCTAAGCATATATAATTAGATTATTCGTTTTTGTTTATCTTAGAGTGAAAGGAAGGGAGAGGGAGAGAGAGGTAAAAACATCGATGAGAGAGGAATATCTATCACTTGCCTTCTGCATGCCCCCTGCTGGGGATTGAGCCAGAAACTGGGGCCTGTACCCTGACTTGGAATTGAACCTGTGACCTCTTGGTCATGGGTTGATGCTCAACCATTGAGCCACACCGGGTAGGCTTCTTTTCTTTCTTTTTTTAAACAGCAATCATTGACCACATTAAAACAAAAGACTCCATAATGCTCTCTCCCAAATACAAAAGAATTTTTTATCTTCTATGTCTTACATTATTCTCTACTGTAAATAGGAAGGAATATTGTTTGGTGAACTAATACTATCAAGAAGCCTTAAAAATCATTATTCTAATTATTCCTTAAAATGCAACATTGACTTCTAAGAATATTTCCCAGTCTGAATGGCTCATCCCTCATCCACACTCAGCTCCCAACTGCCAATTTGTAGTTCCTCATTACTTGTGGATATCTGTTTCCAAAGTTTTCAGAGAAGGAAAATAGATAAACCTAAGGAAAATCACTAAGAAAAGCAATCACCCCTAACTTACTGCCTCTATTTGTTTTTTCTCTAAAAATCATAAATAGCAAAGATTACCTAGTGTCAAAACTAATTTATTTTTAATTTTGTATTTTTTTCTCAATCACAGTTCACAGTAATGTCGAAGGTGAGTGGAAGGCAGCCATTGAGAAGAGCAAAGGTGGCTATTAAAACAGTCCAAATGGATGATAGTGTAAGTTAGGGAATGGCAGTAGTCTGGATATAGGTAACAGATATGAGAGACACAGCTGCTTCTAAGATTGTTACCTTAACATAGGTAGAGGAGGGACAGGAGAGCTCATAGTGACTCCATGTCTTCAAGGATAGATAGTGATATCAACACTAGAACTAGGGGAATCATGAGAGGCTGCATTTTACTTTCTTTTCCATCAGAATCTGCTTTGTCATCAAGATCATTGATGAGATTCAGCTGCTCATGGCCTTCCTCATTAATAAGTCAAGACACAGTCTATCCAGTAAAGCAGAAGTCACTTTAGGCATTTGCAAAAGAGAAAATTTAATGCAAGGAACTGATTGAGATTGGCATCAATAAGAGGCTGCTACTATCCCAAGGCTGGAAACACAAGAGGAGTTAGCAGTGCTCTAGGACAGTGAGGAAACCCCTTATATCCATCACCTTCCTTCTCTCCATTCCCACTCTCCTGCCCTCTGATTAAATATCCCTCCAGCCGAACACAGCTAAAAGCCAGCTGGCCAGGGAGCCTGAGAAAGCAGCTTGAAGGGTCAGTTCTGTGAGAGAGTAGGTCAGGGCAAGGAGGAATGCATCTCAGGATGAGCACACCCAAGATTTAGCCAACTTCTTATATACCCTAATTGTTGAGGTAGAACTGCTAGTCAGAATCCCTGAATTATATGAGATACTATCCTCATGAACAATACGAGATACCAGCTGAGAGGACATGGGATCCATGTTCACCTCACTGAGGAGAAGGGGCAGAGAGAAGATAATAAGTGGCCAGCCACATCTGTATCCACTCACCCCTCATCCTTATCATCCTTGAGCAGGTCCTCAGAGTTCCTAAGGAGGAACTATTCTTAAAGACCTGAAATCAAAGTTCATCTCACTAAAACAGTGGACAGAAAAGGAAGGAGAAAACCATATCCTTCTCTCTTAGTTGCTTATCTCTCTCATTCCTTGTCTTCCTTTTTATATTTGTCGTTTTTCTTCTATTCATTACCCTCTTGTGCTCTACCTCCATCATGTTTCTCCAATCCCTTTCTACATTTCCAATTTCTTCCACTGCCTGTCTATATCTCCTCCCTCCACCTCCAACTCATTCCTCCTGAGGAAATGCATGAGTTAACAAGTTGCTTGTTAGACATATTTTTAATAGTAAATCTCATGTCTCTTGAAGCTAGGTATTAGTTCCTTAGCAGAATAAACATTCAACAAAGCAGGTGTCAATTCAATAAAATAATATATCCCATCATCATTAAACTATTTATTCCTTTTTGGTTTGTTTATATGGTGAGATTTTGAGTAGTTTCTAAAATGGCCTTTATAACATCAGTTGATAAGGAAAAGAATTATCAAATGGGAAATCAAGGTGCATGAAACCAGACAACTTGAACATTATGTCAAACTCGTATCGATATTTTCCCATGAGCCATTAAAATAAAGCATATCTCGCCGGAACCGGTTTGGCTCAATGGGTAGAGCGTCGGCTTGGGGACTGAAGGGTCCCAGGTTCGATTCCGGTCAAGGGCATGTACCTTGGTTGCGGGCATATCCCCAGTAGGGGGTGTGCAGGAGGCGGCTGATCGATGACTCTCTCTCATCGATGTTTCTTGCTCTCTATCTCTCTCCCTTCCTCTCTGTACAAAATCAATAAAATATATTTTAAAAAATAAATAAATAAAATAAAATAAAACAAAATAAAGCATATCTCTTATAGCAGCTTCATATATGCCCATAAATGAATAATATCAGCTCATAAGTAGAGCACCTTTACTCAACTTCTGATGAGTAATAGTTCCTTGAAGAATGAAGAAAGGAAATAGACTTTAAAAACATAAATTTCTGTCCTTCCCAGTTTCCTTCATGATATGAAGCAGATACTATTCACCATGAAGCGGAGGTTCTTCTCTGACCTCATTTGGTGATGGAACTTTGAACCAAAATAGTGTCACCCCGATACCCCGATACACGTAAGTGACCACAGAAGGATCAAAGTGCTATAAAAAGAGAGAAGATAGCATACTACTTCATCCATCTCACAGCAGCTACAAGCTCATCCATCTCCAGTGAATCAAGAGAAACTACGATGGCTTCTGTGAAAACTTCCTCCATGGTGAGTCCTGCACTAACGTGCAATACTCTTATTGATTTGGACCAGATGATACTTCTGGACCTTGGGCATGAAATTCTGGATTCTGATTATAGAGATCATGTAGAATAGGAAATGAAAGCTTTAGTAGATACTTGTCATTGTATATCATGTTAAAGAACTAGTACATATCAGTTTTAAAAATGAGATTAAAACTGAAAGATAGCTATATTGGGGCTAAATCATGCAAAGAAGTGTCACATAATTCTGTGCAGTAAGAAATAATGTTTATTGGAAATCGACTCTTCTGAGTACAAGTGATTTAATATAATTCTCCCACAGCACTTTTCTTTAATCCAAAATTAAAGTAATTAAATCCTTAATTAATTGTGGCAATAACTTTTCTTTTCATTATCCTATTATTATACTACAATCTTGGTTCACCAAACCCAAATATTATCATCAGATACAGTATAACTGTGGTTTAGAGTAAATGGTTTTTATATTCTTAAAAATATCTCTTTTGAAATATAATTTGATTATAGAATTAATACATGTAAATTTAGAAAACTATAAAATATATCTAAGAAAACATTCAGAGGATCCAGTTTTTGGTTGGATGTTTACCAGTGATACTAACAGCATTTCTAACACAAATACTGATACCACCTGGATTTGCTATGGCCCTTTTTAAGGGCGTATTTGCTTTCACAAAGGGTTTCACAGAATGATAAGATAGAGCACAATGGCACAGAAAGACATTTCCTCCTAGAAAATCAAGGTCAATATTATCCCAGTGACCTGACTGTGATGCATGTACTGACAGTATGATGACTTGTAATTTTTACAAAAACTACCACCAGCCAATAAATAATGTGCCTTTCCTAAATCAAAAGATGAATGTTTAAAACTGGTAAAAACTCTGTGGTCTTAATATTATTTTAGTCATCTAGCCAGGTTTTTATTTAACTGATCTGAAAATTTACAATAGATTGTCCTAGAATATAGTATGTTCTCTATGATTAGCAATACAATAATTATCACAATTTGGTAACAAAAACCACTCATTAATCCAATTTTCCACCTCTCTCTCTCCTTTCCCATTCAGTTCCAGTCACTGCTACTGCTGCTGAGTCTGGTGGCTATAGTAAAGGCAGCAATAGTAATTTCACAAAATCCAGAATGCCCAAATACTGACGAGAACTTCCCTCAGAGTGTGAGGGTCAACCTAAACATCCTTAATCGAAATGAAAATGCAAAATCTAAAAGACCCTCAAATTACTACAACCGGTCCACCTCACCTTGGGATCTCCAGTACGTAAGGTTATATAAAATCTGTTTTCTTCTACATGTTATGCATCACACTGCCAGTTAAATCACTTAGAGGGAAATTTTTACTCACTCAGAATCATCAGTCACACCTGGAAGAGCCTTTGTGCAAAACAATGGATCTCAAACTTCATTCTGCAAATTTACTTGCTAGAGCACAAGACAACCCTACCCCCAATACCCATCCTATTAGATTCTTTATCATTGACACCAAAAACCCACCCCAATTTGTGATGGTCTACATTCTAATATTTATGACACCCCAAGTCTATTTTTTATTTACTCTTAGGGATTAATGCTTGAATTCTTTCTATACAAGGACCTCCATTGAGAAGATTTCTTATAAATTACTAGTAATTAATGAGTATTTTTATGCATTTTGTCTTTTGGAATATATAGCTTAAATCTCAGTGGAGAAAGAAGTATTATTTTGGGTATTGCCACCCTTTTTTAGGTTAGATAGCCTTGGTCTACATCCCAACAGATCTATATTTGGTGCGTATATGAAGAATTAAATTTAGACCCCCATGAAGAATTAAATTTAAAAACATATTTAGACCCCCATGAAGTACATCTAGTATTTAGACCCCCATGAAGAATTAAATTTGAAAATTTATTCTGATAGTTTGGTTTTATGTAAATAAGCCTCAAATATGTGGCACCTAGAGATTTACCTGACTGTGGAGTTTTTTCTCCTCTTCCAATTACTAAGAATACTTCAAATACATCAATTAAAATTCAAAGCAGCCAGCTTGGTATGGCTTAGTTGTTGAGGGTGGAACATGAACCAAGAGTTCATGAGTTTGATTCCTTGTCAGGGCATATATAGGGGTTTCTAGCTCCATCCCCAGTAGAGGATGTTCAAGAGGCATTCAATTGATGTTTCTTTCTCACTGATATTTTTATCTCTCTATTTCTCTTTCTTCCTCTCTCTCTAAAATAAATAAAACATATTTTTAAAAATAAATTTAAAAAAACACCTCAAAGCACACCATCAACTCAGCTGGAGGAGAGAGGAAATTAAGGTGGCTAAAGCTTTTGTTTCTAGCACTTCGAATCAGCTCCTGGCTCTCTTCCAAGAATGTGTTGTCAGAAAAAAATTTTGATGCATTCTATATTCAAACTTTATTAAGTTAGATTAACAAATATTTTATTCCTAGATGATTCCCTTGGTCTTTATCCATCTATCGAATGTATCCAAATAAAAATATCCTCAATGTCAATCAAACTTAAATCCTTCTATAGTCTCAGTCTACCTTATTCTGTTCATTCTTCAAAGTAAATGGGAAAAACTGATCATTGCCTTTTCTCCATATTTCATGTGCTTAAAAATCCAAGTTTTCCTGAAACTATTTCTTTTTCAGACTAATAGCCCTTTTCAGACTAATAGAATTTGCAATGACTATAGTTTGTCACCCTCTGAATTTGTCTTCCTTCAATTATTCCTGTTCGATTTCCTTCCCGCTTTACCTGGAATTCACTTTCTTCCTGGCTTTTGTCTCTCCCTGTAGCCGCAATGAAGACCCTGAGAGATATCCCCATGTGATCTGGGAGGCAAAGTGCCGCCACTTGTTCTGCGTCAATCCTGAAGGGGAGATCGACCACCATCTGAACTCCGTCCCCATCCAGCAGGAGATCCTGGTCTTGCGCAGGGAGCCTCAGCACTGCCCCAACTCCTTCCAGCTGGAGAAGATACTGGTGACTGTGGGCTGCACCTGTGTCACCCCCATTGTCCACCACAGGGCTTAAGATTCCAGCTTTCTGAATCTGTTAGGCTTTCTGGGGAGTAGACCTAGCCCCATTTCTGACCAATTCACTAGGGTTCTTAAATAAGTTCATTCAACTGAAATTTCATAGGTAACACTTTGGTTCAGAGATTGACTCTGAATCATCTTTCCCTCTCCCCAAGAAGGAAGGTTTAAACTAAGTACCATTTTGTTTCTTACTTGCTTTTCTAAGGGCTTTAAATTATTTATGTATTTAAGAGACCCTGAGATAATTCTGATGGTATAAGATTCCATTTCAATGAGTTACAGGCCTAATTTTATTTTATTTTTTAAAAAGACAATATTCCAGATTTGGGAATTTTATTATTTAAAAGGTAAAACCTATATTTATATGAGCTATTTATGAAACTATTTATATTTGTTAAATCTTTAGAGAAAGATAGTGTGATTGTTCTGCCTAGAAAAATCCTACATAGAAATAAATGTCAGGTCAAAATTTCTGATTTTCTACTACATATAAATAAAGGATTTTCTCCTCTTTGTTTCTTAGGAGTACATAACATGGCTGGGGGAAAAAATGACTATACCTAATTTCATATTTATTAATTTAATTTTTTAAACTGTTGAGGTTTCACAAAAGAGACAGTCTAATTCTCTGCTCTGTTAAACCCTTATAATAAAAACAATTTATAATAATAAAGTTTGGAAAGAAAATTTGTTTTCTTATTCTTTCTCATTAAAAGTACTTTGGCCAAGGCTGGGAGCGGCCAGGCCCGGGGGAGCAGCCGGGGCTGGTGCGGCCAGGCCCGGAGCAGCGGCTGCCAGGCTGGGAGCGGCCAGGCCCGGGGGAGCAGCCGGGGATGGTGCGGCCAGGCCCGGAGCAGCGGCTACCAGGCCCGGAGCAGCGGCTGCCAGGCTGGGAGCGGCCAGGCCCGGGGAAGCAGCCGGGGATGGTGCGGCCAGGCCCAGAGCAGCGGCTGCCAGGCTGGGAGTGGCCAGGCCCTTGGAAGCAGCCGGGTCGGGTGTGGCCAGGCCCGGAGCAGCGGCTGCCAGGCTGGGAGCGGCCAGGCCCGGGGGAGCAGCCGGGGATGGTGCGGCCAGGTCCGGTGCAGCGGCTGCCAGGCTGGGAGCGGCCAGGCCCGGAGCAGCAGCAGCCAAGTCCAGAGCAATTAGGTCGGGAGCGGCAGTGACCAGACCCGGAGCAGCTGGTTGTGGAATGAACCAGAGCAACAGAGGCCAGGCCCTGAGCAGCCAGGCCCGGAACAGCTGGCTCCTCGCCTGCCCCTGCCCCACGGCTGCCTCTCAGACATGGCTGGAAACTTTCGTGGGTACTTGAGGGTCTGCTGAATCAAGTGATGAAGGCTTAGATCTGGATGTGTTGAGTTAGTATAGGGCTGGGGTGTTGATCTGTGAGTGCCTTGGGTGGGGCCTGGATGAGGCTGGTGGACCTATTGGGAAATGTCTTTTGTGTGAAGTGTATCATTGGGCATGTGGAGGTATTATTGATATGAGAAAATGCTAAGTAACTGATTTACTATCTGAAAAGGGATTTATGATACTATTGGGGAAAGGGAGGGAAGAAGAGACTGAACATAAACTGTGCACCTATGGATGAGGACAATGGGGGATGAGGAGGGGGCGGAGGGTGGGGTGGGAACCTGGTGGAGGGGGGAAGAAATGAGGAACCTTTGTAATAACATGAACAATAAAGATTGATTTAAAAAATAAAGAAAGAAAGAAAAAAAAAAGAAAAAAAAATTCCAAGTCAACACCTTAATTGATTATATTCTGTTGTAAAACTCATCAGGAAACTATATGTTTGGATTCGCTTTAAAATAATCCTGCAGGGTAAGAGAGGGGAATAAAAAAAATGAAACAAAAAAAATAAATAAAAAATAAAAATAAATAAAAATAAAAGTACTTTGGCCAGCCGATACCGGTTTGGCTCAGTGGATAGAGCATCGGTCTGCGGACTGAAAGGTCCCAGGTTTGATTCTGGTCAAGGGCATGTACATTGGTTGCAGGCACATCCCCAGTAGGGGATTTGCAAAAGGTAGCTGGTTGATGTTTCTCTCTCATCGATGTTTCTAGCTCTCTATCCCTCTCCCTTCCTCTCTGTAAAAAATCAATAAAATATATTAAATAATAATAATAATAATAAATAAAAAATAAAAGAACTTTGGCCAGCTCAGCTCTTCCGTATTTGGAAAAGAATGCAAATTTGAGAGCAAAACAAAGTATGCCTTTGAGTAACAACACCCTGGACCCAAACAAGTCCAAGTTCTCAATTTTACATGCCCTCAAAACATTAAGGGACCAGCTTCTCCTAGTATTAACCAATGCTGTGAACACAAGCATTCCAAAATGAATTAAGCAAATAAAATGATGGCCCTGGGAAAATGGCATGCTGTTATTAAAAATCATACAGGAAAAAAGAAGAACCCCTCCCAAAAATGTGCCCTGAGATTTGACAGGAAGGGGAAAGTTCTGGGAGAAGACATAGTATTCAGACTAGAATAGTCCGTCTCTTCTCGAACTCAGGCTTCTTTTGAAGATAAATGCCAACCAGAGATCTAGAAACATTTTTCTCTTCCTCTGACCACATCTCTAGGATGACCCCTCCTTTTCTGGGCCTCTGTTCCAATGCATTCCAGGACACAGAGAAAAGCCATGGAGACAACATGAACTTGAAGTATGAGAAAACTTCAGGCCAAATAAAATAAAAACTGAATCACATTCAATTCCAGACTAGTTTCAAGTTTCGAGTCAACCATTTTTTCCATGCTGTGGCCCAACATGCTACCTTGCCCTACTTCTCAGGCCCCTGGAAGTCCTCAGGCTGGTTCCACAGGCTCCCTGATTCTTTGAGCAACCACCTTCTGCACATGTTCATTCTCCTGTATGCTCCAGCCTCACTTAGCGGCCATGACTTTTCTCTGCTTCTTTTCCAATTCCAAACCCGGGGTCCACTTCTCCAGCCCCGCTACTTTCATTGACATTTGTGTGCTTTCATCTTGATTCTCAGGATAATCTCCTGTCACCGTCTTTCGACAAGAGTTTCATAGGCAGTTTTTCACAGTCTATGCTTCAAAACCTCTCACTAAAATCCTGCCACTCAATTCCCAATTTTCCGTGAGTGGTGGTGAAAATAAAAATTGGGTTTTGTTTTGAGATGGACAGTAAAAGAGAGTATATATATATATCCATAGTTCTGAATCATTACTTCCCCCTAAATTGTATATCTGGGAATTTTGTGGTGGGAAGAGACAATTGCATTCCATGTCTCCCCTCCTTTTATATGCACTGCTTTTATTATCTTCATTTTTCCCTAGTCAGCACCATTATCCACCAATCATCTATGCTAGATATCTCTAAGGCATCCCTGACTCTTCCCTCTTTCTCTTCCTCACTCCTAACACCCACACATTCCCAAACTCATTAAATTTCACTCCCTGAAAGTCCTCAACTTAACCCCCTCCCTGTCCAAGTTTGGGACTTCATCTTTTCTCATTTCTTTCCTCGGTTACTGTGACAGCTTCCTGCCAAAATTAGATACGACAAAATGCACCCTCTGTAATCTGGCCCTGTTCCTATTCCAACTCTCTCTCATGCCACTTTCTCCTTGGTGTTTATCTCAGGACATAGTGAAGTCCTTGTTGTGACCACCATACTGTTCTTCCCCTCAATGCCTATGTCCTGTGGTCATCTGGACTGTGTCTTTTCCACCTTCTCCCCTCCTGTTCCTCTATTCCTACCCTGTTGTGATGATCTGAATATTGTGTCACCCCAAAATTCATATGTTGAGTCCTAAGCCCTAAAGTGATGAGATTAGCAAGTAGGGAGCATTGGGATGATTAGGTCATGAAGACAGAGGTCTCATGACTGGTATTAGTAACAGAGACCCCAGGGAGCTCTCTCATCCATTCTGCCAGGTGAAGAGACAATAAAAATATTGGAGTGGAAGAAAGCCCTTACTCAGTTGTGTTAGCACCTTGATATCAGACTTACAGCCTCCAGAACTGTGAAAAACAGATTTCTGTTGTTGGTGAGCCATCCAGTATGTAGCATTTTGTTTTAGCAGCTCAAACAAACTGAGACACCTGCCCTCCCCACTGCTCTCCCCCTGCTCTAAGACTCTACTTGGGTTTCATTTCTTCTAAAGATCCTTCCCAGACTCATCACTGCAGTGATCCCAGACTAGGTTTCTCTCTTCTGGCTCCAAGAGCACTGTGGTTATCCTTTATCTCTACTCTTACATGCTTTATATTGGCTTTATCTATTTAACCAGCTTTTGGTCCCTTGAGAGCCAGGCCATCAGCACCTGACCTGGCACATAGCAGACACTCAATTAAGTAAACTGTAACAATAGTCTATAGACAACTCCAAGTCACCAGAGAGAAAACGACTCACTAGCTCTTCTCCCAAACTAGCTTCTCCTGTTGCTTTTTTATCTATTAAAATGATATCACCTACTCATCTGACAGAGAAACCTGGATTTCTCTGTCACTCATCCCCCTTGCCTAATCAGTGACAAACCCTTCATGAGTTTTCTTGTTTTCTCTCCCTCCTCCATCCCTTCAAAGTTGCTATTAAAGCTGAATTTTATACTATGTTGTACACCTAAAACTAACATATTGAACATCAGATGTAATTGAAAAATAAATAAAAGTAAATTTTAAAAATAAAGTTTCATTTAATATGATCCTAACTGGTCTCTAAGCCTTGCTTCCTATAAGTTATAATTCGTTCTCTCGCAAACTTCTGGGGGAGCCTAACAGCAGTAAGTAATAAAGAACTGTTGCCACAGACAAAGCCCAAATAAACAAAAGTTTATTCCTGCTCAAGTTACTCTCCTACAGGGATCCTCAGGGAGATTTGTTCTACTTAGAACAATCCTGACAGAGTTCAGATTTGGTCTTCTTGTAGCAGCACCATCGAGAATTGCACTATCTAATACAGGAGCCACTAACCATATATGGCTATTGAGCACTTGAAATGTAGCTAGTCCCAAATGAGTTGTGT